GGTTCTGCCTGGGAGCACATACATGCTCTTGAACTGGACTTCTGCTTCTGTTCCTCCAGCAACCAGTTAAGACTTGAAGTTCTTTTTTTTTTCTATTTTAGAGTCAATCATTTTTATTCTGTCTAGCTATCATTAAGACCCCTTTGCAATGGTTACAACACTGGTCTTACAATATCTCCTTATTGGGGTTGATCTTTGCTTTCCTTTGCCCTCTCTCTTTTGTAAAACCCTTCCCATATACACGTCTGAGACCTTCACATTAGGCAGTGGCCCCTACTTGCCTCCTCATACACAACTTCTCCCTCCCAGAGTGAAGTTTGTCCTCGAATGTCTAAGAAGCCTATTTCTTCACTACGTTAATTTTTGGCTTTCACCTAGCTTTGGATCTCCACAGTTTCTTTTATTCTCATTAACCAAAACTGGAGATCTGACCCTTCAATTAAGGTTACTATATGGTATGGAAGGTCTTTCTGTCTATGCGTTGCTTTTATTGGTAAATGAATAAAGAACTGCTTTGAGCCTTTGGTAAGGGCAGAATAGAACTAGATGGGGAAAGCTGGGCTGTATGCTGGGAGAGAGAAGGGTGGAGTCAGAGAGATGCCATGGAGCCGCTGGAGATAGGCATGCTGAAACTTTGCTGGTAAGTCACGACCTCGTGATAATATACAGATTAAAAGAAATGGGTTAAATTAATATATAAGAGTTAGCCAATAAGGAGCTAAAAAGCTAGTGGGCCAAGCAGTGATTTAATTAATACAGTTTCTATGTGATTATTTCAAGGCTAAGCTAGCTGGGTGGTCGGAAACCAACAAGCAGCCTCCCACTACAACTATAGAACTCTAGTCCTCAACCATTCCAATGGGATCTTGTCCTAATTCTTCGCATTCTTGCAAGATACTCTGATCTTATTATAAAACATACTTTGGTCTTTCTTTGACCAATTAGAACCACTAGTGATTCCAATTCTCTAAAATACCTTCTTTGGAAGTGCAAATATTCATCAGAGTGATGAAGATGGTCAGAAGATGAAGTACATCTAGCATCACTAAGGCTCCAACAAGATCAAGGAGAAAGGTCAGAATGGGTAAGTAGATTGCAGTACAAAGCTTGAATGGAGAGTCAATAGGCAGAAAAGTCCACACTGTTCTCAGTCTTCATATCAATTACCAAGCATTCCATTCATGGGTGGAGCCAAGGAGGCATGGTAGGGTCATACTTTGTAGTCTCAGACACTCTGTGGATGATAGCAATAATAGCTCTTTGCTGAGCACACCGTTGGTGCACTGAACCCTCTCAGCATCACTGTAAAGAGATTTCTATTGTCTGTCCCATTTTTCGTATTGAAAACTGAAGCTGAAAGAAGTGGAGTGCCTTGTGGAAGTCCATAGTGAATTATGCTTGGGCTTTCCAAGTTACATGGGTTATCTCCTAGTATGTGCCTTGGGTAAGTTTCTGATCTAATCTCACCCTCGGTTACCATTCCAGTAGAGATGGACTTAAGTTCTGAACTCTGGTGTGTCCTTCTCTGGACTAGGAGGACCCTAAGATTGACAACAGGATCCAACCTCAATAAGACAAAGAAATCATTTTGCCCTTCAAATCCCTTGGTGAAGGCTCAGACCTGGCCTCAGGCTGGGCCAGGGAGGTGGAGAAAGTGGTTAGAGAGGAATGTGCTAGGGCCTAGGACGGAGAGATGCTCTCAACTGCTCTAAGCAGCGTTAAGGAACCAATCTAGGTTTAGAAAAAATTTGTCAAGCCAGGCAGTGGTGATGCACGCCTTAAATCCCAGCACTCAGGAGGCAGAGGCAGAAGAATCTCTGTGAATTGAAGGTCAGCCAGTTCCAGGACAGGCTCCAAAGCTACAGAGAAACTCTGTCTAAAAAAAAAAAAGAAAAGGAAAAAAGAAAAAAATTGTCAAGTGATGTGTTCTTCCAGTCATTAAAAGGTTTAATTAGATCCCCATGTTCATCAATAATTCATACACAATATCTCCTTCATGCATTAAATTTAACCTGGACAACGAAAGGAATCATCCGAGGGTTTGAAGTCTCATTCCACCTATGCTTCTGTAAATTTCACTCCCTGCAGCAAAGCTGCCTCTTTGGTTAATATTCAAGTTAAGAAAGAAATCAAAAGTTGCTTTAAAATAAACTAGATTCCTTGTCTGTTCCTTTCCCAACACACACATACACACATACATTCATACATGTACTCACATGTACACAAAACAAAACTGGAGAATCCTGAAGTGGAACCCTGGCAAGCACCGGGCAGTATTATTACCAGCCCTGCCCCCATGCCCTGCAAATGGGTCACTGGGTCACCATGGTTTCCAATCCACAATCCAAAGGTCCTTTCACCATCCAAAGGTCCTTTACTGATTCAGTACATAAATATTCCCCCAAACTGCCGAGTAGAGGGTGTTCCGTTCTAGTGGATACAAACACATCAGCCTATGTTCTCTCAAAGTGCTCAGATCCCAAAAGAGTCAGATAAGACTTCAAACAGCCCTGAAGCAGACCAAACAGTGACAAATATTTAGGAACAGGCATCTCAATGTCCAAAGCAATTCATGGTATTCATCGACTCCAAATCCTACAATATCTGTACCTCATTTAGAGAAAAACCTAATCCTAATTACAAAGTCTTGCTCCTCCTTCAGCACTTGGACCTCATCTAGTCTTTAACTGCAAAGCCTTTCTCCAATAGAAAACAAACATTGTCTCATTCTCTTTCTTTCTTTTTTCCTTTTCTTTTTTTCTTTCTTTTTTTTCTTTTTTTGGTTTTTTGGAAACAGGGTTTCTCTGCAGCTTTGGAGCCTGTCCTGGAACTAGCTCTTGTAGACCAGGCTGGCCTCGAACTCTCAGAGATCCGCCTGCCTCTGTCTCCCGAGTACTGAGATTAAAGACGTGCACCACCACTGCCAGCACAAACATTCTCTTTCCACTTGGTCCCTTGGTATAGATCTTTCCTCATGACATATTCCATTAACTCTTGTAATTTATGCACATAGTATTTCTAAGAGAAATTCTTGGGGACCACTACATTTAAAATTGCAGCAGCTCTCTTCAACAGTCCACATCATCTATTGCTTTCTTTTTCTTCATAAAAGTTATTGCTGCTTGACATACCACAAAGTGTAATTATCTAATAACATCCCACTAGAATAAAAGCTTAAGGGCCAGTGAGATGGTTCAGTTGCTGACAAGCTTTCCAATCAAAGCTCAATCCCCAGGAGTCACGTGGCAGAAGAAGATCAACTCCTACAAGTTGTCATCTGACCTCCGCATTCCAACACACACACAAAGAAAACAAATAAACAAACAATAAACAAATAAATAAATGTTTAAAAATAGGATTCAAGTTTAATAAGGTCAGAGGCTTTATTCATACACAGCTCAGCACCCAGCACTTAATAAAATACTTGTTCTTCTCTGTCTCACTACAATGAGTGGACGTTTTCACTGCTTTCACGAGATCCTAGGACCAGTAGGGAAGGATGCAGGAGAAGGGGACAAAAAGTCTTTTTCTAGTAAGAAACTGCCTTTTGTGATTGTATGGCACCATTTTAGAGGCAAGGTAGGCTTCTATGCTTTGAGGCAACCCAGGAGGAGAGCATGCTGGGCATTCTCAGGAAAACCCTAGAATTCTAGCTTTCTTGGATCTTAAAAGCCTTGAGTTTGGGGAAAGGGACACTTGAGTTCTGCTATAAACAGGATCCTTTGGTGCCAAAGACTGAAACAAGAGGGCGCACCTGAAAACAAGTTTGTTTGGGGCCTTGTATCTTCATGTGCCTCCTATTCAAGAATACGAGTTATTGCTTTACTCTGAAAAGGCATAAAAGTTTGACTACATTCACTGTGTTAAAGGCTCCCGTTCAACAAGTTATTGTGAACACCAACCTGCATCAAACCAATAGGCAGCTTGGTACTGTCTGAATTAGCAACTCACAGACTAGTTAGTGCTAAGCCCTGATACTGGCACAGCTGCAGCTGGAATTCCCAGAGTCAAGGTAGTGGAACCACCAGTCTAGCCAGATGTCTTTGGAAATTTGGATTGAGGAGGCCACCCATGTACCCCAACCAACACCTGGCATGACACGGTAAAGTGAACAGAACCCAAAACCTGTATGACCTGTGCTCTGCCCTGGCTGCTTCAGCACGCTCATGTCTAAAAGTTATCATGTTAAGGGCATTTCTGAACTTTCTTTGTGGGGTAAAGATTAGGTTGAACATTACAAGAAGGCCACAGAAGCTGCTTTGTTTAAGAAACTTAAAGCCTAGAACAACATCAGAAAAATTGACACCATACCCATGAGTCAACATAAACTGGACTCATTTTTGGTTTGGTTTGGTTTTTTAAAGGAGGAGGACTGGAGAGATGGTGAACAGTTAAGAGCACATACTGCTCTTCCAGAGGACCAGCGTTAGATTCCTAGAATCCACATCCAGGGACTTACAACCACCTGTAGCTCCAACTTCTGAAGGGTCTAGTCAGCTCTGGCCTCTGCAGGCACCTACAACACGGTGGATACTGAATATACATTTGTGAAGCAAACATTTGCCCATGGAAACAAAGCCCCCTCCTTGAGGAGTGTGTGGGTGTGGAAGAAGGGAAAATCCTTTACAGTGGCATAATGGGTCAGTGCCAAGTGGAAAACCCATACCAGGGGAGACCAGGAGAGCAGGCTGGGAAGGGGAAGATCAGAGAAAGGCAGACCTCAGTATCTTTTTTAAAAAAGTTGGTCAGAAATCTCTTGAGCAACAACTGCCTCCAAAAGTGCAAAACTGGTGCTAAGGAAGCAGAAGAATCCCTGAAACGGCACAGAAAGGCCGGGAGTCAGGGGAGAAGGTCTTCCTTGAAGAAGTGAACAAGATCCTGTGGACGCGAAATGACCCTTCATTTGAATGCAAATGCTATGTAAAGCCTGAAGCCCCTTGACGTCAGCCCAGCCTTTGGTGGCCCTCCTACGGCCCACTACCAGTCACCTGGAAACCTGGGGGGAAGAAAGGAAGATTGGAGTTAGTCCCAGACGCACAGAGGAGCCAGTGGTGCAGCTAGTGCTGACCCATTGATTCTCTCCTGCGTCTCAAATTCGGGTTGGCGCTAAGTTTACAGTGACCTCAGGATGGCTTAGGGGGCAACTTCTTCAATCCAAGTCATCATGTATGGAAGCTGCCTTTTGGAAAAAGAAGCGGGCATGTACCCAGGCACTCTCAGGAGCCCTGGAGGAGGCAGCACAACCGGGGTGGGTACCTCTGGGGGTAGTGGTAGTCCGCTGCCTGCCTCCAACTTCACTACGGCCGCAGCTTACCCACACTACATGGGGTACCCTCATATGCCTAACATGGATCCTCATGGGCCGTCGCTGGGAGCCTGGAGCTCACCCTACAGTCCGCCCAGGGAAGACTGGAGTACATATCCTGGGCCGTCCAGTACAATGGGCACAGTGCCCATGAACGACATTACCTCAAGCTCTCCGGCTTTCGGCTCACCAGACTACAGCAATCTGGGCCCCACCAGTGGCGCAAGCAACGGCGGTAGCCTGCCAGCCCCGGCCAGCGAGTCACTGGTCTCCATCGACTCAGGCACCGCTGGTGCCAGTTCTCCCAGCAGGAGCCGCCACAGCCCCTACGCGTGGATGCGCAAGACTGTGCAGGTGACCGGTAAGTAATCTATCCCCACACTGATCCTTTCCTCCCTGCTTTACTCTTGGTCCGCCTGGCCTCTTACTCTTCACTACCCCCGCCCTCCAGGAGAGTTCAGTTAAGCAGCCCACAGCGTAGCGGGTTGGCAGGATAAGTACTTCCCGCCTTTGCGCCTAGGTTCAAAGCCGGCCAAAAGTAGCGCTTGAGACGAAACCTCTCTTCGGAATAGTTGAGGTTTTTGGTTTGGTTTGGTTTGGTTTGGTTTTATTTACCCCTTCTGGATCAGTCAAGAGACTGCGCACATGGGTTCCTGATGATAAGGATTGGGGTCCAACCCTGTCGTAGCCCAGATGGGAAAACAGATGCACATGTGATGGACGGGGCGGGGTGGGGGGGGGACGAGAGCTGAAGTTGTTACCATGCTAGTCTGTTCTTTCTCCAAACCTTTCCCCACCCTGGTGTGCAGATTTGCCAAAAACTGGTGGTGCTCAACTTAGTAGGTGCTTAATTGGCAACCGACGACCCTTGTCTATGAAGGTTTTCAAAGCAAAGCGTCTCCGTGACAGGACTCTCAAGGAAACTGCAGCTTCCTTCGCCCAAATTAGCAGTGTCTGAAAACTATCACTTTCCAACGTCCCTTTGCGCCAAAGGAAGCGTTGAGGCAGTGAGGTTACAGCACTGAGCTGTCATTTCATATGACACAACACTCACACCTGCCAAGGTACAACCAGCATTATCCCCCAATAGGTGCCTAAAGCCCTCATTGCTATTCCAGCAGGTGTCCACGAACTGTAGAGGCAGAATGCAAGTCTGCGACAGCGACAACACACAAGGTAGCATAAAGTTGCCAGTTTAAGGTCTAATGTCGCTGCCCAGCAAGCCCTCATGGGCAACCACTGGGAGCGGGGAGTTGTTGGAGAGGTGCATAGAGAAAGTGAAGGATCCTTAGCTTTAATCTTGGACTGGGATGGGGTGACGCTCTTGTTTTCAGCTGTGGTTGTTCTCTTATCACTTACTTATTATTCTAATTCTTGCTCCGTTATTAGAAAAAATAGTGACGTTTGACTATCACGTTCATCCCCTCTGGAGACGCAAAAAAGATATGTCAATAGCATTTGTCCACAGGAATTACGTTGTTCATAATCCCGTGTTTTCTCTGTCCTCCAAAAAACATGTCCCACCTCTAGGAAAATTTTCATTCAGATGGAGGAAGCTCCAGTTTCATTATTAGGGTTAAAAGTAACATTTACAAACTTACTTAAAGGCTGCTTAAAGGTGGTAGACAGCATTAAAAAAAAAAAACAAGGGTGAGTCATGTCACTTTCAAAAATGAGGTTAGGGTAGGGCATCCATCCCCAGAGCTGCTGTTATATCTAATCTTGGGGATAAAATTAACATCCATTCACCAAAACCTAATAATAGGCAAAATACACATTTTTAAAAAGACATTATACTTTGCAACACGTTAAGGGAAGGATGCCACTGGCTTGTTTGTTGCTTTTAATAAAAAAGGATGAGGAGAAAGAGACATGATAGGAAAATTATGTTGTGATGAATTTTCTGCTGATGAGGGTAAAACACAAGAGTTTTATCTTTAAACCTTTTATTTTATATATATCTCAGAGCTTTCTTTGGATAATTCTGATGCCAAGAGAAGTTGAGAAGGAACCTCCTTAGTCTGTGTACCTTCATCTGTTAAACCCTCAAACCTGACTTTATTATGCCACCTGCCGAGTTTTCTCTTCAGTGTTGTTTAGAAACTTAAAACTGAGAATGATATTGCAACTGCTAAGACTCTCAGTAACTTGTCCTACAGACAGAACTTGGTTAACCAACTATTTCATTTGAACTCCTTAGAAGCTATAGGTTTGCTATATTCTCATTGCTCAGGTTGTTATTTATCAACAATTTTCGATGATGAATATGCATAAGAACACACATCACAGCGCACACATAAGTAATGCTTTGCATAATTTGGAGATTCTAGATTCACTGTGTCTGTTTCATGATATCAGGCCACAAACTCCACAAAAATAAATGTCATCACCCCATTGGACTCTCTGGACCAAAATGTACCCCTTTATATGATTAGCAAACAGATCAGGGGTTAAGTGTTTGTAAAATGAATGAATGAATCAGTCAGATCTTCCGAACTTTCTGCTCACCTTGGAGCATTGCACAACGTGTGGTTTAGGGCTGAGAGGAAAAAATCTGTGGACAGCAAACTGGAAGTAGCCCTTCCCTGGATTAAGGCAATCCAATGACAGGTTTGTACATTAATGAAAGTAATTGAAAGAGACTTTAGTTAACATGGGGGGAGCATTCATTACAGCTGTGATTCCTAATGAAAGCGAGGAGATTGACATGGAGAGTAAATTACTGCCTTCCAGATGATCATAGTTTTCCTTACTATTCTATTCCAAACACATGTCTTTTCAGAGCTCTTACAAAATCTTATCCAAAAGTTTCTATGAATGTCAACATTTTCATACAGGCTCATATTTTAAACAATGCTCAGTGCGTGAGAACAAATCGGGTTTTTGGTTTTTTTTTTTTTTCATTTTCTTTAGTGCAGAACTATGAGCCTGTATGAGCATTGGTCAAGCACCATCCTAAGCAGAGCTGGAAAGACACCTCCCTGTTTACCAAAGGGAAATAAGTTTGATTCTTATTAAGCCACTCAACACTAAGGGAATAAAAGTTAAAAGCTCTATTCAATTAGGACACTTCACAAACTGAGATGCTTAATAGTCCCTGAAGCTTATCATTGTCTTCCTTGGCTTTTCATATTTTGTTGACGAATTTCTTAAATGAATTTGGATGTGATTTTTAGTTAAAAGCATGAAGAATTGCCATTAGGTGAACAGTCATCATGGTGGTACTGCCTTTTTAAGAAAACTGGCTTTCCATCATGATCCTATAGCTTCATGAGGACTTCTCTGCCTAGTAGCACTTTGACTATGAGTCTCTCCGCTGAACACCGTTTCAAACACACTTATGGTGATAGTAAGTCATCACATGTGGTGACATTGCCTTATGAACTGTGAGGGTGCTGTCTCCTTGGTGCTGGGAAGGAGCGCTATGAACTATGGAAGTGTTTGTTCACATCTTTGTAGAAGTAATGAAATTCTTCCTTTAGGGAAACGGAAATAGCTGTTCAATAAATCTTCGACTTTTTTCCATCCCTAAATCAACTCTCAATATTGGCTGAGAAGGAAATTCTCTGGTCTCAAAATGTCATCGTCTCTGGGAAAAACAGGAACCTAAGCAATAAAAACAAGTACTCTTCATGCTTTCTTTGTGTTTGGCTTTGGTTATGGAGACATGGACATTATGCTCTACCAGAAAGTGTCCAAATCCTGCACTCATGTTAGGGGAAGAGGCAATGGGGGAAAGAGATGTGGTTCTGAGAAGGCAGCCCAAGAGGAGTTGCAGGAAATTTCTATTTGTTTCTCTTTGTAAACTGTGCAGGTAGTACACTCCCCTGTCTTCTTGGGGGTTTAGGTCTTATCTATCAGATTGGGGCTACAGACCCCTTTTAACACTTGTTTAGCTTTGATATGCATCTAGGCCCTTCTCATCGCTCCTTTCTTTGGAGGTTATATTGCCGGAAAGGGTGAGCATTTTCATGGCAAATAAAGAGGCCTGGTCTTGACTTTTATTGTCCTCAGAAGAAACTGCAAGAGGGGAATTTATGACCAATGGGGGTGGGGAAGAACCGCAACCTTTCCAGAGTTCTTGAAGTCTGGTTATATTTACTGATTAATTGACTGAACTGAAGACACAGACACACACAAGTTGAATTTTAACCTTTCTGCTTCAAGTTAAAATTTAAACTCAGTTCCTTTTTGATCAGGAAGGGTTTTAGGGAATATCTCCTCAAAATTATATTTTAATCCTAAAATTTGAGGTTCTGAAAACATTAAAACTCAGGTTTCCATTTTTCATCCTTCAGCATACATTCTGTCTTTGGAATATGCCAAAAGTCAGATCCCTGGTTTCCTATGTTTCTGTATGGACTCAGAAATCTAGCTCAAAGTTTGGAGCTGTGAAGAAAGTTAGTTGGCTGGGATCCATCATTCAAGGGAGGGAATTTTCATTTCATTAAGTAGAACATAAGTTATCGAGCCATTTAGTTGAATCCTAAGCTAGATCTGTTTCTGCATCCATGCCCCCCCCCTCTTCCTGGAGATGAAAGGGTGTCTGACATTTGTTTAGGGCTTGTAAATTCCAAGCCAATTGGTTGATGTTCCTGAATGTAAAGAGGGTTCAGGATGGGATCCATGCTATGTAGCTCCTTTGTTAGGCCTGTGCTGCATCTTAACACCTCAATGGAGTTTAGGGACCCACTTTAAAGAAGTCTTTGTCCTACAGGTCGCCCCCCAAAATCTCACATCAAAAACAACCAGAGAAGATCAGAAGAAGTTTCTAAGAGCCACAGGGAAAAAGAGCAAGATCCTAGAGGGGGTTAGAGAAACTGAAAAGAAAGGGAAACTTCCTAATCACCTTTAGAAAATTTGAAAGGAGGAATAAAACTCCATTTGAAGGAGAGCATGAGAAATTAGCTCAATGTTGTAACACAAGCCAAATGTTTGGATATCCTTTCAAAGCACGTGCAATGCTCACTTCAGTCTGCTTAAGTCAACACTTCCTCCTTCACCCATTCACTAGCCACTTGGAAATAAAAAATGCCTTAAGACTCCCACAGGAAAGCTATTACTTTTTGTAACAAATAGGAGCTATTTTGAAACATAATTTGCTAAATAGCAATGAATATTTTCTTTTCAAACTATACAAATTCTTTCTAGGTAGCACATGTAACTATGTCAGGATTCCAGAATAGTTTGCCACACTTGAAATTATACTTCCCAACAGGTTTAAACTGGGAATAAATCTAGCATACTGAACTGGGCATCAAAGGTACATGCTTGGGTCTATACTCCTATTTGGGTCACCAGCACAAATTCACTTACTTATACTGAACCTTGGGTTCCTTATTTATACAATGGGGATAATACATTTTCAGCATAATTCAACAGAGTAGGTAAGATGCTTAATGGGAAACAGTCATGAAAGAACTGCATAAAATGTAATTCATGGTGGGTGTTGCCATTGCTCTTCATTCCGTTGTTATATGTGGATGGGAATGGAATGAAACTTATGGGTTGAGTGTTTGTTTTAAATGTTTTGATATAGCAGTGGGCCAAAAGAGTAGCTATAATCTGACTGATCATTTCAGGAGAAACATTAATATATATACATAATATATATGTATTAATGTGTGTATATATATTAGAATGATGATTATATATGTGTGTATATATGTATATAAATATATATATATTAGAATGATGATTAGAATAGATATCATAGCCACAGATAATAATGCATTTAATGGAGAAATAGACATGACATATTTGATTTAAAAATATATTTGCTTTAAATTTTAAAGTAAAAAGTGAAAGTAAGAAGAGTAACTGGTTCCTTCAACCCAAATAATCTCCAAATAAGATGAAATGTCATGCTTTCTCCCCCAACAGGAAAAACCAGAACAAAAGAAAAGTATCGTGTGGTTTACACTGATCATCAAAGGCTGGAGCTGGAAAAGGAATTTCACTGCAATAGATACATCACCATCCGGAGGAAGTCAGAGCTGGCAGTTAACCTGGGCCTTTCCGAGAGACAGGTATTACCAAACATATTCCATATAGTCATTTCAATTGTCTAGAGTTTGGAGGAAATAACAAAATAGAGGACATATGCTTTCCTCAAGCACCGCTAAACCCACACTCAGCCTATGTTGTTTCATTGGCCTTTGGGTTGATTAACTATTGAACGGGTGGGTATCATGTGGGCCTGGGAATAAGAGATACAGTGGAGAGATGCAAAGAGATTTTAATTCCAATACAATTCATCAATCAAGTCAAACCTTGATCTGATCTCTCGAGTAGTACTGAGTAGGAGAAGTGAACATTTCACAACTCTGGCCACTCTCCGCTTCCTATCAGTCAAACAAACTGCAAGAGGAACTGCATACTAGTGCAACTCCATGGATGGAGCTTTTCTGCCATTCAAGATAAGGAATGCAATCTTCTTTGGGCTGTATGATGTTATGATGGCTGCCTTGAATTTAGTTAACTGTGAGTACTCAATGGAGATCAAGTTACAGCAATTCCATGAGCACCTGGTGATTTTCCCCTCAAGTCTAAAAGTGATGCTAGAATCATAGAGGTCTATAGAAAAAGGTAAAGTCCATTAATACACAGCCTTATCTCTTGCAGCTTGCATTCCATCCATGCGTAGGCACATTAACACCACTCTGGTACTGATTTCCAATAAGAAATAGATGGTATTTCATGACCCTGCTCACCCAGGTCTAGGTGTTGTTAACTTTTTAATATAAGGAAGTTTCTCTTAATGACTGACTGTAATCACCTTTGCTATTTAAATCGTTCTTTCTCATCAGCAGTCCTTGCTATCTTTACCTAATTATTTCTACTTCTGTGTCAGAGGATGCAAGGGAGTTTTGGTAGTCCTAGATTTGATGATTTCAGTCTCATTTCTTGCAAAGCGCCTGCCCTCTCTGAGCCACAGCTTTTTAGAATCTGTAAAATGGGTATACTTCACAAGATTACCATTGACACTCAAATGAGGGGATGTTCAGGAAGAGGCCTTGCAAGGCCAGCAGTTGCTGTGTTTGACCACACTCGAAGTAGTCCCCATTAAGCATAAAGCCATTTTGTGTTTCAGGTGAAAATCTGGTTTCAGAATCGCAGAGCCAAGGAGAGGAAGATGATCAAGAAGAAAATCTCTCAGTTTGAGAACAGTGGAAGTTCCGTGCAAAGTGACTCTGGCTCCATCAGTCCTGGGGAGCTGCCTAACACGTTTTTCACTACACCATCTGCTGTCCGTGGATTTCAGCCAATTGAGATACAACAAGTCATAGTCTCCGAATGAAACAAGAGCAGAGAAACAGAAGCACCCTTCCCATTGCAGTGTCTCTCTGGCCTCTAAGATAACAGCAAGGCAGTTGAGATTGGATGTAATTCCTTAGAAGGCAGAATTCCAAATAAGTGGACACACAATGAGTTGCAGAGATTTTAGAAGTCTCTAACATTCGGAAACTATTCCTGGATAATTCCTATTCTATGCTGTTCTATGTGGGCCTGGGCGGGAAGCTCAGTGATAAGTTTTGCTACTTAAAGTCTAGACTCACAAGCCCTTGCAACTTCCTTCACAATTTCAGAAACTTGCTTGTGAACAGATTTTAAAACACAGTCCTGCCCAGAGGCACATGTACACATATGTTCTTGTGTTTGTTATTTGATTCTGGGTGTCTTTATGGTCCTTTTTAGGATAAAGTAGGCAGACATTTATCTCTAGATACCTTTTCAAGCAGTAATTAAAAACGCCCAGTCTTCCTAACAAGCTAATTTTATAAGGCAGCATCGGGGGGTTATTATAAATCTATTGCCACTGGCTAATAAAACAAAGATCACTTTTCCCCTCAGATAATACTCACCTGTCATCAAATACCTAATCATAGAACTTGGGAGATGTAACAATTTCAAATCTTGTCAGAACAATGAAATCAGACTAGAAGAACACAGGCCAATTTAATTGAGTCGATAGCAAGGCAGATAGATAGTCACCACACAGAATAGCCTGCCCTCAATCTGAAAGAGCTGCGGTTCACCACTTAGAAGTACACAATCTGGGTTCTCAAATGGTGCTGCAGTGAGTAGGGTGGCCTGGTGCTTTTGTGTTGGCACGGTACACTGTTCACATATCAAAGTGGCCAAAGATTAGGCCTCCAGTTTTAAGACAAGGTCTCACAATTACCTGTTTGGGAGTTGAAAATAAGAACTGTGTCTTCCCAGTCCTTAAGAAAATGTCAGAAAAGGAGCTTATTCTTCTATGGCTTCTGCTGAGGATACATCAATTAGTGCTGAAAGATTTAAGGGAAAAACCTTCCACTTCTGACCTGACCTCTTGAAAGAGTATTGCTTACAACACACTTATGAGGAAGGTATCAATCACCCCATTTTACTGATATGGAAAATGAACTGTGAACATCAGGTCACTTTCCAAAGGCATAAAAGAAGACAACTACAGCCATTGATGAGGACCTCAGTCTCCAGAGGAGGATCTTCCTCAGTTTGGAGTGAGAAGTCCAAACTCATTCTTAATACCTAAAGGATGTACCTTCAGCTGTAACAGTCCCATTTACCTGGAAGTTGCCCTTTCTTACTGTAAAACCTATTGATGTTTCTCTATTTCACTAGACTCTGAAAAAACTGAATTTTTTTCTTAATAGCATATTAAAGGCATTTTCTCTCAAAAGACATGTTTATTCTTTGAGTGCCGAGAAAAAGATACACCCCTACTTTTATGGCTACATTCCAGTGGTATATACTGGAGGCACGTAAACACCAAAGCTCAAAGGTTGTACTCCAAGTAGCCTTCAATAAGGAAGGGAGGTGGGGAGGGGCAAGGCAGGAATGAAAACTCAACAAATGGCCAACAATGTTCAGTGGGTTAAATGGGGATTAAGGAGGAATAGTCTTTTCATTATTTTTCAAATTTATGCATACTATTTTCACTCTGATTTTTTTTATCCACAAGGAATTTGCAGACTTTAGAAGAGTCTGCAATCTATTCAGTGTTCCAGTCTACAAATACTTCACTTAACAGCATTGATCTTATCTTAGAGTTTGTGTACAACTACAAAGAAAGACCATTGGGAGGACCTGGCCTATTTCCAAATAAAGAAGGAAGTAAGGCTGAAGGAAAGTTTTCCATTGTTGGCTCAAATCCAGAGAACTGGCCACTTCTCTGGTTGAAACATGTTAATATTACCAAGTCAAATCAAGAAGGGAAGGGGAGTCAGTAAGAAGAACTGGAAAGGCGGAATCTATTAGAAGGTGGTGTGGAGAGCACTTGAGAGGTAGTTATCAGTCTACAGAGATGCTGCAAAGGGGCTGGGAGTGTAGCGCAGTTTATAGAGTGTTTGCCTGGCATGGAATTCTAGGGCCAGTCTCCAGCACTGCATGCATGGAGCATGGAAGCTCATGCCTATCATCCCAGAACTTAGGGTATAAGGCTAGAGGGTCCTTGGCTCTATAATGAGCCTGGGCAGCTAGACCCTGCCCCTCCAAAAAGAAATACTGCAAAAATAATTACAGCAGAGTTACTACAACTCTGATAACAAAAAAAGGCAAGGAATCGCTAGAGTTTAGTCTATATAGGTAGCCACATTATGTAGTTTAGATTCTATCCCTCAAACAGGGATTACTGGCTCTCATATTCATACGTGAATATACTACTGAGGAGAGACACAAACAATAGACAATTACTGTGTTTCCCATATAAAGGCAATTAATAGGTTTGAAAGGTAGAGCTGACTTGGGTATACGATCATTAAGTCTTCAGAGTGGCAGTGCAAAGCAAAGAAGTCCTGTACATTACTGTGTGTACAATAATGTAAACTGATAGTAGATGCACTACCCTGATAGAGGAGTTTAGAAAACGATACAAACTGAGCGGCGGTGGTGCACTCCTTTAATCCTAGCACTCAGGAGGCAGAAGCAGGCAGATCTCTGTGAGTTTGAGGCCAGCCTGGTCTACAGAGTGAGTTCCAGGACAGGTTACAAAGCTACAGAGAAACCCTGTCTCGAAAAACCAAAAAGGAGAGAGAGAAACACACTTACCAGAATCTAAGAACTCTTTTTAACACATCATTTACTTTGCAAACATGCACATTATAAAAATCACAAAAGGAGATAAGAAAATGAAGTGGAAAGATTCTTGAAAAAATGATGACAGAAGCCCTGAGCATGATGTCCTACACCTGTAATCCCAGTACTAGGAAGGTGAAGGCAGGAGGGTCAAGAGGTGATGTTCAAGAACAACTTAGACTGTACAGTGAGTTCAAAGCCAGTCTGGGCTACATGAAACTCTGTCTCAATAACAAAAATAGAAAGATAGAATAATGTCAAGATGTTCCAATTTTGATCAAAGACATGAACATATCTATCCATGAGTCTCAATAAATTCCAAGTAAGATAAAAATCAGAGATTACACTAAAGCACATTAAAATGAAATAAAATTAAGGCAGAAGATGGCCAGAGGCCCCGTGGCACTGGTAAAGGCTGGACAGGCACTACTCTGATGCCACTCTGATATGGTGGAGAGACGGGAAAGAGAAGCAGAATGGTTCATGTGCTGTTGAGTGGGGAAGAACTGAAGGGAGGGTCAACAGCTTTGTGAGTGGTCTTACTGCCACATGAGGCCATGTGATGTCTGAGCCAAGCTGCCAGTGAGGGTCTAGTCTCGGTCTCAGGCCCTACTGCAGCTGGGATCTGGGTTTAGGTTCATCGTCCCTATTAACCACCAAAAGCCAGGAGGATGTCTGTGGTCTGCGCTGCCTCCTGAAGCTATGTTGCTGCCTGAGGGCCATGCTGTGCTGGCCTCACCCCTCACTTGAAGTGAGAGAGTTGGCCCCACCCTTCACCAACCAACCACCACACAGTGGCACCCAGCAGTGGCATGGACGGGGGCGGGGGGGGCAGGTATATTAGAACCATAGCCATAGGAGCTCCGCGAGTCTGGGCAACAGCAAGATTTCTAAGGAGTCTCAGTGAGGATCCAATACTGATGGTGTAACAAAAACCAATAGCCTCTAACCAGACCGATGACTCATTGCTATGAACATTTGCCAGCAAAGCTGTGTGGGCAAAAGGGAATTTTAATGTACTACTTAGTCCTCAAGCACTCTATAAAATATGAGTGTCAAAAATACACAGTATATAGATCATCCATCCTGAGCTGTCCATATCTTGGGCATGGGGCATATCTACTACAATTACTTGTAAATATTGAAGCAACATTGACCTATAAACCTCAAGATGAGAAAAGATTTGCTTTATTATGAAATCCTCACAATTTCCAAAAGCACCTGGAAAAGACTTCTGGGGCTTTGCTCGGTGTCAAGTGATTTTGATGTGGCTTCTCTTTGTTAGCCCTAGAAAACTGTGCAAGGGAGCTGATGCTCGTTAATGCTTGGATTTCTGGTCTTGGTCCACTTGTATAAGTGATGTACTTTGAAAGTGTTGATGTACAATCAAATTGGTGTGTGTTTTTCTTGTTGATTCTAACAGAGAAAATAGAAGGAGTTGGAACTCATTTGTCTTGCTTTTTTCATTTTTAAAATTATTACCTTATAGTTAGTGATAAATAACCATTTGCTGTATAATGCCTTACTATCTCATTAACAAGGCTGTTTTTAAAGAATCATAATCCTACTCCTTGACACCCCACATATTTTAATGTGTTAATGTCATGTGATGAAATGCTCCAATTCCTAGTCCCAGATGCTCAGCTTATTTTGAAAACCAAACACACACATCCATTTGATCTCCTTTTAGGAATGAAGTAAGGAAACCATCATTTTTTAGTTATCTATATTGTTCTTTTGGTGGTTTTCTTTCTTCATTCATATTCTTGAACAATAAGAACTTGGCTTGGGTCATAGTAGTTGTAGCTAACCCATATTTTGGCATGATAGAAGAAATGTATTGTGTCTCTACAGTTTTCTGGGAAAATTGGTCTTTTGGTAATTGTTTTTTCCATCTTTAATAAATATTTTCTTTAAATTTCAAATAGAGAAAAAACTATCAAATCCCAAATATATCCACCAAAATTAATTTTTCAAAAATAAATGAAAAATTTAGACATTCTTGGGTAATAAAAGCTGAAAAAGTGGGGGTAAAAAGCTGGGCAGTAATGGTGCATGCCTTTAATCCCAGCGCTGGAGAGGCAGAGTTCGAGTCCAGCCCAGTCAACAGAGGGAGTTCCAGGACAGCCAGGACTGTTTCACAGAGAAACCATGCAGAAAGAAAAACTGAGGAAATTCATCATCACTAGAGCTTCCCCACTCCTCGCCCCCCAAAAAACCCAAAATCTAAAGTGAGTTCTGGAGGCTGAAATGAGAAGAAATAGTAACAGCTGGCAGTGGCACCAGGATTTGTCCCTAATGTTTGGTCAAAAGTGACGCCCCTCTATCCAAAGAGTCTGGGATGATTGGAAGCATCACCCCAGTTCCTGGAATCCATTTTGGGATGTTTGGTCATAAATATCACCTCAGCTCCTTGTCACACTCCTATATCCAAAGAGTCTGGAATGTAATATTAAGCTGGAGGCATCACCCCAGCCCTCTAACACCCCTATATCCAAGAAGTCTGGGATGATTGGAAGGCCCTGACCTGGCAGGTGTCCTGGCTTGAGCTCCAACTCCCAGCCTGCCAAGTGCTGATCACCCCACTAGGGTCAGGACCACTCCCCCAGGCTATGGGGTTGGGGGGGAGTGGTTTGGGTTTATGTGTGTGCTCTCTCTGTCTTAACCCTGTCATGTCTCCAGCCACCCGGGACCGCCGGCAGAGAGATTTTTCCTAACACCTACTGCTTGTGCTGGCTTTTTGGGAACCTATGCTCTTTGGATGGATACCTTGCTCAGACTAGATATAGTAGGGAAGGCCTTGGACCTTCCCCAAAGCAATGTGCCTTACCCTCTCTGAGAATTGGGGGGGGGGGCGTAGGTGGAGTGAATTGGAGGAGGGGAGGGAGTGGAAACTGGGAATGGTATGTAAAATGAAAAAAGATAGTTTGTTTTCTTTTTTAAACAATAAAAGAAAAAGAATTAGTCACAAGTAAAGAAAAATAACCTGGGCGTGGCAGCACATGCCTTTAATTCCAGTAACTCCAAAGCCAGTGCTTGAGGTCAGTCTGGCCTATATAGTGAATTGTAGGCTAGTCAGGGCAGCTTAGTGAGACCCTGTCTCAAACACAAAAGAGAACAAAAGCCACCTGAGCGGTGGTGGCGCACGCCTTTAATCCCAGAATTTGGGAGGCAGAGGCAGGTGGATCTTTGTGAGTTCGAGGCCAGCCTGTTCTACAA